TCTCATTACTGTTAGCTCTCTATATGTCCGATCTACCCCTACCTGCCATGCCGGTAGGCAACCGTCAATCCAGTTTACTGTCTATCAATCTACCCATCTGGATTTAATATACAAAAAAATCATACAGAACATAAACAGGAAGCAAACAAAAGCTCCAATACAATGACTAGACAAAACAGGAAAAAACTTCAATTTGAAAGGGCAGAAAACATTAAAAATTTTAAAACTGAAACAACTTTAAAATGGGCCAAAAGGGGAGATCAAATGATAAGGTGTATTACATTTTAACCTAACTCCTGCCATAATGCTCTCAGATAGCGAAGCTATTCATATCCCTGCACTGTGTTCAGAGGGTTTCCGCCAGAGGTGTGCGTGATGCGTGGGCCCTGCAGATGGTTTTTAGGGTTTCCCTATCCGCAGCTGGCTTTCGTATGCAAGCTGATTCCTTGCCCTCCTTCTGAACTTTTTTTCCTTTAATCGTGGCAAATGGTTTTTAACTTGAGCGTACCTTGTTGTATTGTGACAGGCTTTATTGTGGTATCCAGATGTCAGTTGTTTTTGTTTGTTTTGAAAATTGAAGATTTCTGGCAACCCTGCATTAACCAAGTCCATGGGTGCCATTTTTCCAACAGCATGTGTACTTCATGTCTCTGTCATATTTTGATGTTTTTTACAGTATTTCAGGCTTTTTCATAATGGTCTTGTACACTTAACAGCGTGTTCACCACTCTTAATGTAACCATAATCTATATAAATCCACTGCAATCATGGTGATTTCAAACCCTGGCGACCCTATAGATATAGAGCAGACCCAAACTGCCCTTTTTGAACTTTGGCACCTATAATTCTTCATGGGAGTAAACAGCCTCATATTTATCCCAGGGAGTGAGTAGTAGGTTTGAACTGCTAAGCTTGTAATTAGTCTCCCAGTGTCAAGTAATCCACAACTCTTCATGAACTGCACTGGAAACCCAAAAACTCAAATTTTTTTATTGTGGTGGTTTGGAACTACACATTTGAGGTATGCCTGTTTATATTTGCATTTAAAGGATTCGAGATCTGTTACAGACTAGACTGCAATGTTAATGGTATTGTTGGAAGTGCTAGGAAATGATAGTCATTTCTGACCTGAGTCAGTGAGCTTTGAAGTGAAGGGTAAACTATTTGTTGCATCTCTTAAGTTGTGACAAAAATTCCACAAGTACATAATATGTAATACATTACTCCCTGTGAGAGAGAAAAGCTGATTGTAATGAATGTCAGGAGGGGTGTGGTATGTGTGTGTGTAAAGCTGATTGTAATGAATGGCGGGAGGGTGTGTGTTATGTGCGTGTTTAGATTTCTCTTTGGCTTCCATAATATGTAATACATTACTCCCCGTGAGAGAGAAAAGCTGATTGTAATGAATGGTGGGAGGGGGGTGGTGGTGTTGGTGGTGTGTGTGTGTGTGTAAAGCTGATTGTAATGAATGGCGGGAGGGTGTGTGTGTGTGCGTTTGTGTGCGCACGCATGTGCGCGTTTAGATTTGTCTGATTCTAAAATCTCATTTTGCTGCCATCAAAATGATACTCTAGGACAAAGTAGAACTGAACCAAGGCTGTAAATCTTTGTGGGAACAGAAAGCCTCATCTTTCTCCCTTAGAGCCATGAGTGGTTTTGAACTGCTGACATGTGGTTACTAGACCAACTTGTAATCCATTATGCCACCAGGATTCATCTGTTAGTATATAGCTATATAAAAATGAAACTTTGAATACATCTTACTGAGTTTTTATACAATAGAGTTTAGCTCTTTCAAAACCTCCTTTAGTGATAATTTCTCTCATTTTTCTTTTTGAGAACATTTGTGTTTAATGAAACCTGGATTAGTCAGCACCTATCTTTGTGTTTGGAATTTTGAGAATCAGGAGCAAAGTGGTCAAAGAGACCTTCCCAAGCCTGTTTAGCACTTACTGGCAGGTGTTGTACCATTGCCTTCCCAGAGGATGATGTGGAAGGGTACTTAACCCATTAGTTCAAAAGGAAGCTTAAAGTGACACAAAGACCAAGTTCACTTAGTTAATTTGCTTATACTTATACCTTATTCAATATTTTAATTTACTAATGTTACTTCTTTTAGCAACTTTATGAAATAGATAACATGCTGCTAGTGTTTTCCATGTGAAGAAAATGAAATTATGACAGGAAATATTTTGGAAGATGGTTAAAGATTTTGAACTTTTAATTTTTATTATTTTAAATCATTTTTTTGGGTGCTCATACAACTCATCACAATCCATACATACATCCACGTGTCAAGCACATTTGTACATTTGTTGCCATCAGTCTCAAAACATTTGCTTTCTGCTGATTTTGAACTTTTTAAATACCATTGAATTCTTAATGTCAAACCACGTCTTAAAAAAAAAAGTTTTACTGAGCACAAATCCAAACCCTTACAATTCAGTAGTTCATTCACAACTAAAGGAGCTGTACACTCATCACCACAACCAATATAGGACATTATTTTCTTGTTTGTTATTAGCTCCCCACATCAGATTTTTCTTCACTGTGAATAAAATTCCATTTAATAAATGCAACACATGGTTGTTGCTGCAGTTGGTGTTGAATTTTTATTCAGACAACCCAAGTGCAAGAGTTGCCCTCCACCCACCATAGGATTTTCTAGGCTACGGTCTTTATAGACGTAGAACCTGTTTGTGGGTATGAACTACCAACCTCTGAGTTAGCAGCTTAACACTCAACCATTGTGCCACATGGGAGAATTGTTAATATGATTCTAAGGAGGCTGCTTTAAAGGTAGAAATGTATTACTGTGAACAATGATAGTAGATAACTCAACACTCAGATGTTAGAGAGCTTTTTATTGGCTAGGTGGAGTTAGGTTTATTTTTGTTTAGCAAAAAAAAAAAAAGGTATAAACTATCGCTGGTAAAGTAAGGTTATGTCTCCTACATTGGACTTAAATCTTTACAGCCTGCCAAGCTCTGCAATTTTTTTAACTTTGCTCAGCCTTAGCGGCTTCATTTAAAATTGTATAAGTAGTGAACATTAAATGAGATCAAAAGATTTAGCACTAGATTTGTAAAAATTGTTTTAAGAAGTCTTATACTTAACAACTAACCTTTTTTTTTAACTTTTAGGTGAAGGTTTATAGAGATGAGTTTCATATTCCACAATTCATCGTTTTCTTAAAAGTCATGCCCCTCGGTGACCACACCATTCCCCCACTGTGTCCTGTGCTCGACATCTCCATTACTCCTTTTCCTAAGTCTTTGTCCTTTGTCCTTGAGTAAATGCTGCCCTTTTTTATCTTAAATGTTTGCTTATTTTGCCACAGGCATAAAAAGTTCAGTGCCAGGCCTGAATGGTGACTAAGGACCATAGTCTGGGGAAGTAGGAGTGTCCCTGGTCCCTTATAATTCTGAGATTTGTTCCAAAATTTTCTCCCACCCTGTTGAGGACCTTCTAATGTGATCCTTTTCAGAACAGTTGGTAGTGGTAGCAGGATACCATCTAGTTTTTCTGGTCTGAGTCATAGAGGACTAGTTTGTCGTAGACAATCCTTTGGACCAATTGTTCCCTTGTGTTTCATCACGTTTCTTACCTCCATAAAGGGAGAGATCATAGATGAAGCAACACTTAACCAAAGTAGGATGTAGAGCATTGCCATTTTTAACTATGCTATGGCAGTTCACCTTGGTCCTGCTAAGAAGTTTTTATAGCTTTGTCCACTAGAAAGGAGTTCACCCCTTTCCCATTTCCTCTATTGGCCTGACAACCAGAGAAAGGCACTTATTTTTTTAAAAACAGAAGAAATCACATTGCTTATGAATACGCTACTTAGTTGTAAATAAATAGTAAACATGTAACCTGAGAACCTAATCCCAAACTCACTATCACCGTCAGTTCCCACTCAGAGTGTTTCTGTGGGTCTTTTGCTATAGACAAATAAGACCGTAAGCATTTTAAGGTTTGTATATATATATATTTTTTTCAATCTTAAAACTAGGGAAAATTTGTACTTTGCTTTTTAATGGAGTAAAAGTCATTTTTTGGTCAAATCAGTGATTGGTTGACTGGATTTTATCCAACTTGCATCATTATAACTGATCAAAAATAAATAGCTAGGTAGTTTGGCTGGTCTTAATAATATACAGCAATGATATGATATTGATTCCTAAGTTAAACATACTATTACATATATGGTCAGTCCTGGAATATTTACATTGAGATTTGTTTTTGAGAGCCAAGTACTACTGATGCTTTTCAAAAGAAGGATAATTTCATAATCTGCAGCATATATGTGATTTTATTTCTGAAAAACTTGTTCACAGGAAGAATACATCTAACGTGTTTTTAGGCTGAAGTGTTCTAGATTCAGTTACATGTAGGGTTAAAGATTACCAAGTCACAAATTTCAGTACTTTAAGGGGGTAGGTAGGAGAGAGGAAGGAGTCTTCCCTTACTATTCTAACTTTAATTGGTCTTTTCTTTACTCTTCTGAATCAGCACTGAAGTAGGTATCTGTTTAATACATTAGAATGAAAAGATTTAAAAAAATAGAATGAAAATGAAATTTTCCCACAAGATTTAAAGCCCACCCATGCCTCATGCTCCCACCCCCATCTTTCTTGAATTTTGAATTTTGCATTGCCAGAGACCACATTATAAGGGTTCAACTGGATTAGCTAATTAAATTCCTACAACTAATCTGTGATATAGGTAGGTGAAAATAAGGGAAACCAAGGCCACACAATCACATAGCCAAAAATAGATGATACTAAAATTGGAATGCAATTTGTCCTGGCTGCAAAACCCATTCCTAAACTATGTTTGAGTGCGTACTTGTTCTTTTTTGTGCCTTGTAATTTTTAAGCACACAGTAGATAACCATTATAAATATGCTTTCTATATAGTCTGCATAAGGAACAAATCTAAGAAGGAATTGCTGTTTTGAATATGGCTTGAAAATAATAAATTGTATATCTCCCTTTCAGAGTTGGAAGGTGCTCTGCTCTCAGGGCCAGACTGTGACAGGAATTTGAATGCAGCTTTGTTGGTTGAAGCTGGTTCTGGTCAAGAAACAAATGATGCTGGTATGTACACCTGGCTGTTGTGAACATACTAAGGGTCCACCACTTTTTCTTTCCCTTAAACAGATGCTCTTGAGTCTGTTCCAACGCATAGTAGCATGATGTGTGATTTCTGAAGCTCAAAATCTTTACAAGATTAGAAAGTCTCATCTCAGATGAACTAGTGAGTGAGCTCCTACCTTGCCTTTAGTAGTCAATTGCTTACCCAAAAGCACAGCCTGTGCGCCTTGCTTCATTAGTTTAATGCTTCCTGCTAGTGTACAAATGGAATGGGAATTATGATACTGGTTTTAATATGAAATAATAGTGACTGTTTTTGTTTTGTTTTTATAAGTCATTTCATTGGCGGCTCTTACAGCTCTTAATGCTTGTTTTTAAAGGCTAGAATTACTTTGGAAAAATAGTTCTGTGCTGCAGTGCATTTTAAGCTTTGTCAGAGGAGTTAATTGACACAATAGTCTGCCTAGGAGAAATGATCCATAATCCTAAATTTATGAGGCACTATGTGGAAGCTTTATTAGTTGGTTCTAAGTAATACTTGTCTGAACTATACCTTGCAGAAAGCTTGTTACACGTAGAGTCAGAATATGTGAGTCTCTTGTAAGTAAAATAGCAAGGGGGAAACATTTCCTTTGCAGAAAAATGGTTAGAGGAAAAATGTGCTAAGTGTGATGTAATCAAAAAAATTAATATTTTTCAGCTCCCCCCACCCCCACAATATCTTTGCAGTCACCACAGTAAACTAGTGAATGCTCTTTTGAATGGGTGAAAGGTTGGGAACTAGATAAGAACATAGTCTCACAAATTACTGTATTCACTAAAGGTGAAAAGGCATCTGTATACAATAAAAGATATGAACATGAACATCAGTATAATCAAGTGATTATGACCAGTATCAAGAATTGTAGAAAAGATTAAAATTGAGCCTCCTGATATGATGCTCTGAGGCATACAGTATCATATAAGGTCTATGCTAGCCAGAAATGTTTAACCTGAATCTAATCCTTAAGAAAAAATATCAGATCATGTGGAGCTATATTGAGAGTTGATCCAGACTAAAAGGCCGAGGTCATGAATGACAAGAACCAGAGGGAGTGCTAGATTCAAGGAGAGACAGCTAAATACATCAACCTTGATTAGTCCTTGGGTCTAAAAGTAGGAGTAGAGAGTAACAATTGCAAATTTGGTGATGGCGTGTGTGTTACTTACTTAATGAATGTGGTGCTATAGGTATAGAAGAGAATGCTGTGAAAGATCAGTGCTGAATTAGGATACATATACACGGTTTTTAATAGGGCAAATCAGTGTGTAAGTATACACATAAAGTACATGTGCCACAACTTAACATTTGTTGAAGATAGGCAAAGGAATATGGATATATTGTTTCAACTTTTCTATAGAATTGGAGTTCTTGATATGTTGGGACACTCTTAGAAAGTTGAATTCAATATTCACTTACCGAAATGTAGCCATAGTTCTGAAGAAGCTTCCTGAAGATGACTATTGAAAAGATATTACCCCCCCCACCCCCCCAAAAGGGAAACCACACCCAAAGAGTTTTTAAAAGCTTACCTGTCTTAACTGAGTCGTGAAAAACTTTTGATTGTACAAAAAAATCATTAGTAGGGCGAGAGCATGTTAATCCCTTGCTTGCTTCTGACATGAGTAGCAGCATGTCAGAAGCCTACTCTGACATTGGGTTTCATGAGTTACAAAGAGCAATATGTAAACTTTGGAATTAGTTCACGTAGAAAGAAAGGTAAGTTCATGAATAGCATACTTCAAACAATGTGTCTTACACATGGCTCTGCGTCATTGGGAGAATGAAGACAAGTTCTCTTAGTAATATAATTTATAATGGCTTGCGGGGGGCGCATGGCATTAGACCAAATAGATAAAGTTGTTCCAAGTATGAAAACATCATTCTAAGAACATCACAATAAGTGATGAAGTTCAACTTTACAATACTTTAGAGACCCTTTCGCATTCTTCGTGTATTAATATTTCACCAAAGTGGCAAGCTTAATGTTCTTTTACTTTGTAGATGGTATTTCTGATAGGTATTGGAGAAGTAAATTCTTATCAAGTTTATGCTTGTGTCCTGGAGAGAGGTACGGAGGAAAGTGAGTTCACTAAGATCTGCTTTCCATGGAGCGCTAGCTCAGAGGTTAGGAGGATGCAATGGAGTGACCAGGAGAAAGAACAAGGGCTAGGTCAGGTAGAGTTTTAAAGATATCGAAGGTCTTCATTTAAATGCAGACCAATGATGTCTCTGACAGCTATCTATATTGAGAATGGACACTTAGGAAGGCAATAGTGGGGCCAGGGACACAAGTTATTGGCGATTGACAGTGGTCCAGAGGCAAAAATTGGTGGTGATTGATTTGACCAAGGCAGTCATAGCCAGGGGAGATTCACAGTTATCTTTTCTGTATTGCCAGATCCAAGGGATTACGAACTCAAGGTGAAATGAAATTCGGAGATTATTCCTGTAAAAGGTCCTCAGGCACAGATTCACTCAGACACTCACTGTTCTGATTCTACCTTGTGGCCTTTTATTTTGGGACAGAGTTAAAAGTTTGGTTGAGCTTCATAAGGACATTAAACAGTTACTTGCTCCACTATGTCTGAAATAACCAACAAATGTCCAGTATTCAAAGAACCAAAAATATATGATTTGCCATATTCTTTATCTTTGATTTCCCTGTACCAGGAAAATTAAAACAAGTTTATGTGATTATGAGTGTAATAAGATCACAGAGTTAGCGATAGGTTAGCAGCTGTTTAGACAGTTCTGCTTTTACGCTTGAAACCCCAACTTTTAAAAAGTCTTTTCATGTGATTTCTCACCCACAAATTTAGTAGATTTTATTTTTTAATGAAATTCTGTTTTTATATAAGATGTCTATACCAATCAGGATATAGATACCCTAGTTTTCTAATGAAATGTCAGTTTTCTGGAATATTTTATGTTAAACACTTCTACCATTCTCATAGGCTATATAAATGCTTACATTTATTTTGTTTATTGACTGCAAGAGGCAGGTCTTAATTACCATCATTACATCAAAATCACTTTTTTAATTACATTAGGTACTTCACATGAATTCAAGTATGGGTTGATGCCTGGCCCTTCAGGTGAATTCAAGTATGGATTGATACCGGGTACTTCAAATGATTTTAAATATGGACTGATACCAGGTGCGCCAAATGATTTCAAGTATGGATTATTGCCAGAATCTTGGCCAAAACAAGAAACCTGGGAAAATGGCAAGTATCAGTCAACTCTATATTTACAGAGCTCCTAAATATTTTTTAAAAGACTTTAAATGATTTTAACTCTCAGCAATAGAAAATAAGCACACACTTTGGATAACAAATCTGTCTAATGTGTAATAAAAATCTTTTCTCCCCCTTTCAAAGGTGAATCACCTGTAACCATGAACAAGTTAAAATGCCCTCACTGTAGCTATGTAGCCAAATACAGACGGACACTAAAAAGGCACCTGCTCATTCACACCGGAGTGAGGTCATTTAGCTGTGATATTTGTGGAAAGCTGTTTACTCGAAGAGAACATGTAAAAAGACATTCCCTGGTAAGTAGTAACTTTAAATATAATAACTAATGCTTGAGATAACACTGTGTATGTCAGTGAAATTTAAGGAAGGTTGGTTATGAGGAGTTGCTTTCAAGAATGGTAAGTGGTATATTCAGTCATTAATACATGCTTTCATTTAAGTTGTTCAAATTGTCTGTACATACTATGCTTATTGGATTTTCCCCCTTTCAATTAGGTGCATAAAAAGGATAAAAAATACAAGTGTATGGTGTGTAAGAAGATCTTCATGTTAGCAGCCAGTGTTGGAATAAGACATGGATCTCGACGCTATGGTGTTTGTGTAGACTGTGCAGATAAATCACAACCAGGAGGGCAAGAAGGCGTAGATCAGGGACAGGATGCAGATTTCCCTCGGGATGAAGAATATGAAGAAAATGAAGTTGGAGAAGCTGATGAAGAGCTGGCTGATGGAGAAGATCAGAATGATCCATCTCGATGGGAGGAGTCAGGAGATGTTTGTATGTCTCTAGAAGATTAACTGACCTACTATACTCAAGGATGCTGCATTTGGACATAATATGAATCAACAATTTGAAATGTTGAACTTGAAGGCTTGCATAATATGGTACATAATATGGTAGTTATGTTGCTGTGAAAACTGTAGGGTCAAAGCCTTATAGCAAAAAAAATTTTTTTTTATATTTGCACAGGACTGTACAGCAAACCACCTTGTGGTTGGATTACATGGAGTCCCCGCATAGTCAGTTATCAAAGTAAAGATATTTTTTATTTATAGGATAATACAGTAAACTATTTGGGTCCTCTGAAAAGCCTAGTGCTTGTGTTTATAGAACTTACACTCGTGTGCCACTTTAACGAGTGGAGAAAATACATTTATGGAAATACAGTGACAGCTGACCCAATCACTCTGTCAATCAGACCACTCAGGCTAGTTTGTACTAGTAGGGTTTGTTTCTATTTTTATTTTTATTTATTTTTTTTAATACAGATTTTTCAGTGAGGGGATTTTTCAACCCCATTGGTTCTACCTTGTATTTTCCATTTTAATTTCTCCATAACTTAAACCAAGTGTCTCCACTAGGCCTAGATATTTCTCAATTTTGTGCTGATAGACATGCTTATAAGAACTGGAGAGGTAATTTATTGGAATGAACTAACTGACTTCCTCCATTCCCCGTTTCCTTCTTTGACATGAATTTTACTGCTTCACAGATAAAGAATGATGTTGAAAAGTTTCCGTGGTTAAGTTGAAAATACCACTAAAATGATTATGATTTAGAAGTAACTTTCTCCTGCTGCTTTAATCTGATAAATGGTTACTATAGACATAAATATAGATGACGTTTTCTGACACGGCGTCCTGGTTTTGGGTATCTGTTACTTTGGCACTATTCTTGTTGGCCTTTTTTTTTTTTTTGCCAGTGTACTTTACCTCAGTCCTATTTGAAAGACAAATCTTAATTTAAAAAAGTCTAGAAACAAGAAGTAAACTGAATGATTTGTTTTATAATTTATCATCCATGTCCAGTTTGGTTAGCCTGTTATGCAATATAAGTGAATTATCAGGTTTTTATTCTTGTGCCCTTTTTATCATTAAAAATAACACAAAAATTATGTTCTCTTTTGTTTCATACTTACCTGGGATATTAAATATTTTTTAAATTGTGGTGAATAATTTAACTTTTGTATTTCTTAGTTATCATTCCTTGATATAGTCTATACTGATAACCATGATTTAACTGTCTATAAAATCTCAAAATTTGAGAGGCTTTACAATTTATTATTTTGTTTAAAAAAATCTTCAGGGTACAAAGGGTAATATATTAAGTTAAATTTTTATTTAGCCTGGTGGCAAATGAATCACTGAATAATCAATCATTGAACTCAAAGCTACATTTTGCTTAGTAATATTAATATTGACAGAATTTATCAGGAACATAATGTATATTATACCAGGTTGAGGGACATCATATTTTCACCTTTTAAATAAAATCTAAGTATAGTTTCCTATTTTGTATCAGGTAACAAAAAATATGCTAGTCATGTGGAAAATGTGTTTTGACAAATATAATCCTTTTGGTGCTCTATCTGATCAAAGTGGATAATTTGGTGTGTTTTAAGAGACAACTTTTATCAATGTCTCTTATTTCAGTTGAATGATGATTTAATGTTTCTGCTTGGTTAAGTCAAAGATGAATTACAGTTACATGGCTGAATTCACATTTTGTCATCTAAACTGTAAACCAGGTTAGGGGACTAGCTTTGGTTTGATTTTTGTTCAAAACTAAAGACTATATCTTCAGTGTTCTAGTCAGATGAGAAATGTCATTTTGGTGGGGTCCAAAGTAGAATTTAGTTGGGCAGAGATACTATGAATGAGAAAGTATTTTAAAACGTACAATGTTCTGCTTTGTGAATATGTAAGTATAGGATAAAGATTTCTCTCACCCCATTTATCCCCTCCTTTAAAATAAACCATAGTTTACAATTGGTAGATCTGTCTATATATAAATATATATTAAAGAGAAAAGATATATATCTTGAAATCACTTAAATCCGCTTTATTAGACTACAGGTCACTTATTGCATAGAAACTGGACTTGGCGTTACATTCTTAATGTACTTTTCTTTAAGATACAAACTTATTCTTTTGAAAATGAATTTTCTTTTACTTTCAATCACTTATGTATATCTGGTAAATTATGACCAAATTTGTGTTAGAGTGCATACAGTAAATTGAAATATACACTTGGTACACTAAAGGATTGTTGTGCTTTTGTTTTGGTTTTAGTTGGAAACAAGGTTTGATGTAGCTGGCTTGTTACTGTTAATTTAAAATAATCTATAATTTTCCATTGCCTATTTTGTGTTTTTGACAGTTTTGACTATATATTTATTTAGTCAACTGAATCATGATACTTTTAAAAGTTTGTTTTTAGAAAGATAATCCAAAGGGGAAAAAAATGTTTATACGCTTGACTATTAGCCTCAGCCTATATAAAATTTCTTTAAAGTAAATGTTTTATCAGAAAAAAAGTTGACAAATTTTTCTACTTGATGACTGCCTAATTTATTTTGTTTTAAGATCTTGGAAGGGACTGCCTTTTCCTTTCTAGATCTTTTTTAAAAATAGTTTTTAGTACTAAGGTACACTACTGGACATTTCTATTTTTTTAAGTATTCTTTTTTCTGACTTACTGTACAATTTGAGGAAGTTGACAGATATTAAGAACTTATGATTGGTCTCAGAGAGGCAACCATGGAATACTCATAATATTGTCAATGGAGCCCTGGCAGAATTATGTGGGTCACATTTGTTGACTTTTTCTCTTGTAACTTATATTCTAAGCAAAATATATTTTAGAGATTTTAATTTTAATGAAGGGGAAGAGTATAAACTATTCCTTTCATATTTACTGTAGTAACAGACCCTTTCACAAATCTAGATCATGTATTGGTTCTTAATGATTCTCACAGACAGTTACTTCCGTACGGTCCCTTCTTTGTCTTAGTTATTGATTGACCTGCTTTTTCATACTCACTAGATGTTCTGCTCAATTTTAGCACTCTAGCCATTTAGACCCAAAAACAAAAGAAACTTTTAAGAGAGGGGAAACTGAACAGTAAGTAATGAGTAATTTGGGGGTAAGACACTAACTGGTTTGGGTTGAGCCATCCTGATTGAGAAGAGGGAGGAAACACAACACTATCTGGTACATATTAAGTGCACAGTACTTCTTAGCTGTTAACTAATCAATGTGAGCCAAGAGGGGAAAAAGCTATAAAAATGGAGCAAGAAAGTAGGAAATGAAAGGATACAGTCTTGGAAATTTATATTAATATAATACCTTGTAGATAGGGCCTGAAGATGATTTTGAAGTTGCATAGTATAGGGGAGAGTGTAATGGAAAACAAGTTTAAAAAAAAAAATCTTAATTTAAAAACTTCAAGGTTTATTTATATTTTTAGTATTTTCTGAACGTGGCAGGAAACGTTTAGACTTATTTTTCTGAATAATGATTCCAAAAGCTACCATTTGTTTTTGGTACACATGGAGTGCCTATGTATGCTGTTCCTTGCGCTTTACATGATTTTACTGAATTTCCTATAAGGTAGGTGCTATTGTCTCCATTTTATAGATGTAGAAAGGCTAAGAGAAATTCAGAAACATGCCTGATTTAACACTGCTTTTAAGTGCTAGAGCTAGGATTTAATCGGGCCTTATTCTGAAAGCCCTTACCTTTCCCATTAGTTAACTTTTGTAGAATTCAGCTCTTGAGAAAGGAGTTTACTTATGGAGATGTGTTTCCCTTACAAAGCATCCGAACAGCCATTTTCAGGATTTGGGTGTCTAATCTGTGCTCCCCCCCTAAATAACTATCCTCACTACTTTTCCCATCCAATAAAGCAATTGTTTTGTCACTTGACTCTTGTAAACGTAACCAAACCCAATGTAGCCCATGCTATTAATTGGCTGTTGCCTTTTCATTTTCAAAAAGATGGTTTTTAACAACTGGTTTCGAACCCCACTTTTTATCTGTGCCGTTTAGTCACCCAGATCCTTAAACTTAATTATGGTACACAACATATGCTTAGAACTAGCAGGTGTCTTTTTTTAGTCTTTGTAGGCTTTAAAATGGAAGGTTCTTTTCCTGCTGTATCCCTGCTTTCACGTGAAGTTGAACAATTCTAAGTGGTTTTTAAAATGTATTGGGGATATATGCACCCTTTGAAAGATGGTTTCTAGCCATGAATTTTATGACATTGGGTACTTAAATTTGGAGTCTGCTGGCTACTGAGAGCAAAATTTAGGGGTGACAAGAGGGTGGTTGGGGCTATTATGAAATGGGAGAATCATTCTAAACCGTGTAAACGTAAAAGAACACTTTGTTCTGCCTGCTGTTTGTAAAAGCTCTTCGGGAAGATCTTTTACGAAGACCAATTTTTTTTAATGTAATTTACCTACCTAGTATAAGTGTCCTAAGACATGTATGTAAACTTCCAAAACTGTTTTGTCTGTGTATTTAGAAAATACACAAGAATCTTTATCAAACCTAAAAATATAAACTTGTGAGCACTAAACTGTTTCTGGCTTTGTGAATTTTTATTGCTTCATGATACTTAATTCAGATTTTTGCATTTAAAGTAAGTATTCCAAATAAGAATAATTGGACAAGGGGAACCACACCTTTGTAAATGTTTAGTATGTGTACTTAAGATATCTTTGTACTTAAAGGTTACCTGGTATTTTAAAATCTAAGGGTTTTTGGTGTATGTTTTTATATGAAAGTGCATAAATGACAAACTACCTCCTAGTAAGTAAATTCTTGGAAAGCTGCTTTGATAACAGTAGTTTTTAATGAGAATTCATTAATCTTCCATCTTTCCTCACTTTATTCTCTAGGATTTTGAAAGCAAAGTATTTCCCCTGTAACTTACCCTCGTGCATCATATTGGACCAGTGGACTAAAAAACAAAGATGTGTTGCTTTATCCCAGATTTACTGCCCAGCAGGAGACCAGTAGTTTACAAGTAAATATATAAGCTATGTATTTAAAGAGTTACAGTTTCAGAACAATGGTTTTTTGGTAATAGAGCAAAACTTTCAATAACACTCATTAAGTCAGAACCATGCTCAGCAGAATAATACATGTCGTAAGAAAGCAAGACAGTTATTAAAATAGTGACTGTATGGTAATCCCAGGTCACCGTTCATTGTGCACCCTCAAAGCACGATATCTGAACAAAAAAGAGATCTGACCCAAAGGCTAGCATCCACTAATTCCATGACCTTGGGGTAGCAGTCATCTGCTGCTTCTCACACTCCACGTGTCTCCCCCTGAGTGCAAAGGAATATGTCTGTTCCGTAAATGTGCTACAGGTGAGTTTGGGGTAGAGCCCAGTTCACTTTGGCAGGGTCCTTTATTGCATTTGAAGAAGGGCGATAGGAAGCACGGGTCTGCGTCCCATACAGTGCTTAGTGTCTGTAAACATAAGAATGTAGTTTTAAGATGTTAGCTTCTTGACCATTTCATGACAATGAAAATGTCTAAAAGATGAAATGGGATTGCATCAGAATTGACCGAGTCTCTTGCTAAAGGAGGTGTTCAAGATGAAGCAAAGTATATTACTTGTTGAGGGTTTGGCTAGTGCTGTATTGGCCAATCTTTTTGATGAACATTTTGTGATTTGAGTGAAATGTAACAGCACAGAGAAATATTTCACAGGGTAGCTCTGTTTTTAATTTGAGGGGCCTACTATCACAGTTTTTATTTTGTTTACAAAGAGCATTAATATATTTATATAGTAATATATCGCAAAAGGGTACGTTGACACCAAGAATGACAACATTGGAATTTAGAAATCAAGTTTTATGCAAGAACTTGCTAAATGCCTTCCCCCCTGCCCCATTTTCATTACAAATTATGGTCAGTGTTTCAGATATAGTGTAGAAATACAAATTCTTGGAGCCCTGGTGGCATAGTGGTTACACATTGGGCTGTGATGTGATCCTCAAGGGCAGCAATTTAAAATCACTGGCTGCTCCTGAGGAGAAAGACTTCCTACTCAGAAACTCACCATGTGTCCTGTAGGACAGCAATGCTATGGGTGGGGGAGGATTCGCTCAGTGGCAGCTGATTGCTGATAAGAAAATTAGAAGTCCCTTCAAATCTTGGTGTATGACACAGCAGTTTGAATGAAAGGAAGTAAAGTAAATGACCAAAAAAATAATCTAAATTAATGAAAAATAGGCATCATAACTGTCTGGTGCCTTTAAAAGCAATTAAACACCATTTCACAGCCGGGCCATATTTTTTATTAAGACAAATTGCACTTTAAAAATGGTACTATTCTTGTGAGCATAATTTAAAAGGTATGTTTTAGAATATTAGTGGAAGATATGCAAAAAAAAAAATCAAATTAACTTTTGGCATATGTACCAGCAGTTCCTGAAACAGCAATACATAAACAGTGTGTGCATAGGTTGGGTGGGAGAGACATGAAAAGAACGGCCAGAATACATCAACCTTGCGAATCAAGTTTTGAACCCAGGCTCCTATCCTTCCCCATCATTCATCCCATGTCACTGTTACTCAATCCACGTATTACTTAGCAGTCTTGTTGATTCAGATTTGGGGATACTTTGGTGCCTGTCATGTAATCATTACCAGAACACATTAGCAATTCTTTAGACATGACTTTGCCTTCTAGTGTCTCATAGTATGTAGCTACCAAACTCAGTTCATTTAGGGCAGCAGTTCTCAACCTGTGGGTTGCAACCCCTTTGGGGGCCGAACGACCCTTTCACAGGGGTCATCCAATTCATAACAGCAAAATTACAGTTATGAAGTAGCAATGAAAGTAATTTTATGGTTGGGGGGGGTCACTACAACATGAAGAACTGTTTTAAAGGGTTGTGACATTAGGAAGGTTGAGAACCACTGATTTAGGGTTGGTTTTACTGGTATCAAGCATAGCCGTAGGAACCCTTTCCCCCCCATATAAGCCCTCATAGGCAGCCATAGCTCAAGATGTGGTGGCCAAATACTATAGAAAGGTCTTGATGCAAATAACCCTTGACTTTTGCACCCTAGGAACCACATACGCCATCTGCATAACCATTCATGACAAAATACTTGTTTCAAGCTAAGGGACTGGCAGCCGCTAATATCTGAATGTCTAACATTCAGTGTTAGCAGGACTGAGCACTACCATTGAGAGTTGATTCCAACTCATGGGAGTTATGGAAAATTAGAAATCTCAAAGTTACCTGTTGACGTGTAAAATGCTCCAATAACTATTTTGGGTCTCTTGGAGTTACTACTCTAGTATAAGCCGACCCAAATATCAGCCAAGGCACCTAATTTTACCACAAAAACGGTATTAGAAATATGCTGAATTGAGAATGATGAGGGCAACGAATGTACCAATGTGCTTGACACAATGGATGGATGTATGGATTGTGATAAGAGTTGTATGAGCCCCCAATAAAATGATTTTTTTAATGTGCTGAAAAACTCGGCTTATACACGAGTATATATGGTACATTGTATTTGGAAAGAGGCATCTGGAGCGTTGGCATTGGAAGTCCAGTCCTAATTTCTGAGTCTTCCACTTGGGTTTCGGTCCTTTAAATGAGATGGTGGGGTTTACATGGGTAATTCTCTGAAGCAACTTCTTTTATAGTAATAGTTGCCACCTAACTCATTAAAGCCTACTTTAAATATGACACGTAACAGCAAGAATACAGTGTTGGATTGCTAACTGAAAGGTCAGCAAGAACTAGGGTTTTACATATGTAGGCATGGTTTTCCGCACTCTTAAATTTCTCCCCTTCGTTGGTTTTATTATTTCTAGTGCCAGGTACCATTGTAAATGTATGCTCTAATACTGCCTTGTGACTATAGCTGGCTCTTTGTTACCCTATTTGGTCGTTCTTTGCTACTGCTGGTGAGTTAGTTAGTCCTTCCAGTATGACTTCTCATTTGAGCCCGGATTCTTTGTGACCAAACACTTTTCCAACATACACATTTGGAACACCCACTTGTGGGATCGTGGTTCATCCCCATGTCGTCGAACAAGACCATACTGGGGATGCTGCTCTTGATTCTACTGCAGCCCATTTGAAGTGGGAAATAATTCCACATTAGACCGTTGGGAACTTCTCTCAAAGATCCTTTTCATTCCAGCAATTTAAAAAATTAGGATGCTTAAAAATATAGAACGGTGCAGATTAAAATCTTGATAAGGTATACACACATCCTTTATTGTCCACATTAACATAATAAGAGAAAGTCTTAGAAAGAATCTTCACTCAATTTTGACATTTTTTGAATTTAGCCACCGTGCCCATCAAAATTTTTTAAAAAGTTCTTAAATAACCAACCCATGTTAAAATGTCATCTTTTTTTTTTAAGTCGTTTTATTAGGGGCTCATGCAACTCTTATCACAATCCATATATGCATCAATTGTGTAAAGCACATTTGTACATTCGTTGCCCTTATCATTCTCAAAACATTTCCTCTCCTCATTTTCCCCCTCCCTCCCCGCTTCCCCCTCCCTCATGAGCCCTTGGTAATTTATAAATTGCCATATCTTGCCCTGTCCGAGATCTCCCTTCGCCCACTTTTCTGTTGTCCCTCCCCCAGGGAGGAGGTAATTTGTAGATTCTTGTAATCGGTTCCTCCTTGCCAAACCACCTTCCCTTTACCCTCCCAGTATTGCCACTCACACCACTGGTCCGGAAGGGATCATCCATTCTGGATTCCCTGTGTTTCCAGTTCATATCTGTACCAGTGTACACCCTCCTCTGGTCTAGCCAGACTTGCAAGGTAGAATTCGGATCATGATAGTGAGGGCGGGGAGGAAACATTTAAGAACCAGAGGAAAGTTGCATTTTTCACCGTTGCTACATCGTACACTGACTGGCTCATCTCTTCCCCGAGACGCCTCTGCAAGGGGATCTCCAGTGGCCTACTAATGGGCTTTGGGTCTCTGCTCTGCAC